ATACTCCCGGACGCCATTCTGATAAAAGTTGACGTCCGTGAACATGCCAAACTCCCACCTACGAGCTTCCATCAGTTGCAAAAAACACTCAAGCTTGATTTGCGATGGCTCATACCCACAACTCGATCCAAGTTTGCGCGTGTTCCAGGTTCCTCCCCGGAGGAAGATCTCCTCCGAGCCTTTACGCACGCGTTTCGCTCGAGACTTCCTCAACAGAGACAAGCGATAGAAAGCACGACACCGTTTCGCTCGAGACTTCCTCGCCTTCTGAACCGTCTTCCATCTCCTGATGCGCACCAATCGTCTCTGACACCTGGTCGGCCGGTCCGTGTTCTGAGGGCCCTGTTGGAGCTCCAACCGACGACGCGTGTCCGAAGGCGCCCTGTGCGACTCGCCGGGGCCAGAGGCGCAGCCGCCTGCCCTCTCGGAGCGCGAGGCAGGGGAAAGGTCCGAGGACCCAACCGCCCCCGCCGTCGATTCGCCCCGGAGGGGTTGTGCACTCCCGCCCCCAATCCAAGCCGAGACCACGGAAGAAGACCCGTACGACGCCCACCCAGAGGCACCACGAAGCGCACCCACCAGATCTTCTCCCCCAGCAGCGCCAGTGGGGGCACCCCTAAAGGGGTTGGGGTTAGCCACGTCCATGGCTTTACAATGGAAGACCGTGGATAGAAACACTATGCACACTACCAGGGGGGACACACAACCACTACACACACCACTCCTACATCTACCCGCCCAGTCCCCGTTGAACGTGTTGTCCGAGGAGCGGCCACGTGGAGGCCTGTGCACCTGCTCCTCCCCTCTTCCCTTCCTTGCCTCTGCTCTCAGCATGTCCATCCCCTGTGGGCACACCTCTCACACGCTTCATGGCCCCATAGGGAGCTCTCCCGAAACCCTCCAATGGCGGTGCCCACGTGCGTCCCCGCCACTCATACCGGCACACCCGTCACACGTTTCGTAGCCCGGTCGGGAGCTCCACCGAAAGCTCCCGTGGCGGTGCCCACATGCGTCCCTGCCGCCCATGTCGACACACCCCTGACACGCTTCGTGGCCCAGTAGGGGACTCCACCGAAGGCCCCAATGGCGGTGCCCACATGCGTCCCCACCACTCATGTCCGCGCACCCCTCACATGCTTCGTGGTCCCATAGGGAGCTCCACCGAAGGCCACAGTGGCGGTGCCCGTATGCGTCCTCGCAAACAATTTCGGCACACCCCTCACACGCTTCGTGGCACAATAGGGAGCGCCACTGGCCACAGAAGGCCCCCGTGGCGTTGCCCACATGCAACCCCGCCACCCATTTCGGCACACCTCTGACACCCTTCGTGGCCCCATAGGGAGCTCCATGGAAAGCCCCAGTGGCGGTGCTCACATGCGTCCCCGTCACCCATTTCGGCACACCCCTCACGCGTTTCGTGGCCCCATCGGGAGCCCCACCGAAGGCCCCGGTGGAAGTGCCCACATGCGTTCCCGCGACCCGTGGCGGCACACCCCTCACACGCTTCGTGGCCCCAACAGGGGGCTCCACCGAAGGCCACAGTGGCGGTGGCCACATGCGCCCCCGCCGCCCATTTCGGCCCCACAGGGAGCTCCAGCGAAGGCCCCGGTGGCGGTGCCCACATGCGTCCCCGACACGAAGTTCGGCACACCCCTCACATGCTTCGTGGCACCATACGTAGGGAGCTCCACCGAAGGCCCCCGTGGCGTTGCCCACATGCGTCCCCGCCAACAATTTCGGCATACCCCTGACAGCATTCGTGGCCCCATAGGGAGCTCCACCGAAGGCCCCGGTGGCGGTGCCCACATGCGCCCCCGCCACCCATGTCGGCACACCCCTCACATGTTTCGTGGCTCCATAGGGAGCGCCACCGAAAGCCCAAGTGGCGGTGCCCACATCCGTCCCCGCCACCCATGTCGGCACAAATCTCACACCTTTCGTGGCCCCATAGGGAGCTCCAGCGAAGGCCCCAATGAAGATGCACGTATGCGTCCCCCACACCCATCTTGGCACACCCCTCACACGCTTGGTGGCCCAATACAGAGCTCCATCGAAGGCCCCGGTGGAAGTGCCCACATGCGTTCCCGCGACCCGTGGCGGCACACCCTTCACACGCTTCGTGGCTACAACAGGGGGCTCCACCGAAGGCCGCAGTGGCGGTGCCCACATGCGCCCCCGCCGCCCATTTCGGCACACACCCCACACGCTTCGTGGCCCCATAGGGAGCTCCACCGAAGGCCCCAATGGCGGTACCCACATGCGACCCCGCCACCCATTTCGGCACACCCCTGACACCCTTCGTGGCCCCATAGGGAGCTCCACCGAAGGCCCCAGCGGCGGTGCTCACATGCGTCCCCGCCACCCATGTCGGCACACCCCTCACGCGTTTCGTGGCCCCATGGGGAGCTCCACGGAAAACTCCACGACACGACACAAATTTCGGCACAACCCTCACACGCTTCGTGGCCCCATACGGAGCCCCACCGAAGGCCCCAATGGCGGTGCCCACATGCGTCCCCGCCACCCATGTCGGCACACCCCTCACACGCTTCGCGGCACCGTAGGGAGCTCCACCGACGGCCGCAGTGGCGGTGCCCACATGCGCCCCCGCTATCAATTTCGATAACCCCCTCACACGCTTCGTGGCCCCAGAGGAGGTTCCACCGAAGGCGCCCGAATGCCCCAGTGGCGGTGGCCACATGCGTCCGCACAACTCCTGTTCGGCACACTCCTCACGCGTGTCGTGGCCCCAGAAAAGGAGCTCCATGGAAGGCCCCAGTGGCGGTGCCCACATGCGTCCCCGACACGAATTTCGACACACCCCTCACACGCTTCGTGGCCCCAGAGGGAGGTCTTCCGAAGACGATACTCACAACTGTCCTCCTCGCCAATCATCAATTCCGGGACGCCCCTCACTAGGATCGCGGCCCCATAAGGAGCCTCACCGAAGGCCCCAATGGCTGCGTCCACATGCGTCCCAGGCGCCCATTCTGGCACACCCCTCACGAGGAGCGTGGCCCCATAGGGAGCCCCACCGAAGGCCCCAAAGGCTGCGTCCACATGCGTCCCCGCCACCCATTCCGGCACACCCCTCACGAGGATCGTGGCCCCACAGGTAGCCCCACCGAAGGCCCCAGTGGCTGCGTCCACGTCCCGCCCTGTCGAGTTCAAATAAGAGGCTCAGTGGGCTCGAATCGTTCGCCCTTATCGCTAATGATTACCTTCTCCTGGACTCGAATCTCTTGGGCTGGGGCAAGAAAATCTTGGGAAGAAGAGCCGTCATAAACATTTCACAGGCCGACGAATCCGTAGAACATCAAGCACATCCACCCCGAGAAATTTGGCGGCTTCTAAGACTCGTTCCCTATCGACTGGAGCTTCGCCTTTCAGGCTAAGTTGATTACAGACCTTGGTAGCGCATCGTGAGAATAATGCGCAGCTGCTGGCTGCTATGTGTTGGGCGCCTTCCAACTGAACTGCAAAATACGGTCGAGCACGGAAAGCTGGTTCGCAGTGGAAGCTACGAGTACACAGGAAAACCCTGGGCTCTGAAAGCTCTGAATGACCTCTGAACGATGGAACACGTCAAACGGGGACCTAAGGTTCTTCATAAGTTAGCTGGTGCCCCGCTAGGAGTTCTTGATGACGAGGTACGAGCAGACTTTATCTAGCTGAAGTTTGCACCTACTCGGAATCGATCGTGGGAGGGCATGTTGGGTGGAAACTATGTCTACGAAATTCAGGAATAAGGAGGCTACGGAGGCGAAGTTGGGGGAGCTGGAGGTGAAGAAGGCGTTCCTGAGGCACCAGCGGGCCCCCCTGAGAACCCTCCTGCTCCTGTCTGGGTTCGTGAAGAACTGCTTGGGTTTGTGATCGTACTGCATGGAATGCGCACATGAGATTTGCGAATGGAGGCACTCTTGAACACAGGGCTTTCGGTAATGTCTTCGCGTTTACCATTCAGTGCACCTGGTGCATGACCGCTTTCTCGAATAGGCAATAGGCCCGCTGCATGTCAGCACGTTCGCAGGCTGGTTCTCTCTCACCAGTGCCCAGCGGATCAGGAGCATGTTATCGATCCAATTAATTATCCAGCCCGGAACTTTGTGTCCTGCTTCTGGCCGTGATCATGATAGTTTAGAGGCTCTTCACGTTCACATTCGCCTCACTAGGTCGGTCTGATCTGCGACTGTGGCGAATGAGACTATCCGAGCGCTCCGGGTCCATGCGGCCGCGGCTGCGGCTGTTGGATCTATCCGATGAGGCAAAGTGCGAGCTGTCACGGTGGTATTTTATCTTTGCGGACCACACTGAGTGATCCACGATCACGACAGGCCTCTTCGCTCAACCCCTTGTTGATTCCGCGACTCCCCATGCCTGAACTGTCACACTCAGGAGGATGCAAAATGCCAGAATGCGGTAGGCGGACCTTTGCGGCCCCAGAAGCTGGTACGATGCAAGTGCGATGACTACCCTCGAGAAAGGACGCTCGGGCCACCCCTTGGCAGCGTCCAAGTTCGAAGCGTCAGGGACACACGTTTCGAACTTGAGCCAAATTGCCTACGGAATGGCAGCTGGAGGAGGAGGAGGAGGAGGAGGACGAGGAGGACGAGGAGGAGGCCTCCATTGCGAGGGGACCAGCGTCTTGCCTACCCTCGATGTGTGATGCCGTGGGACTGGCGTTCCCGTCCAGCCAAAAGGCGGCGGTGGGCAAGACTGCAGCACACCTCTGCCTCCCATTCCCCCATCGCCCCTGTTCGACTCGACCTACGGTGCTAGACCAACAGTAGCATCCCTTACGCGACTAATCACGTTTGCAAACAAAAGTCGCGATCACGAGAGGAGGAAGGACGGAAGATGCGGAAAGGAGCAAGATGAGAAAGAGGCGGAAGGGGGAGGAGAGGATGAACAACAAACGGAAGGCAACAAAGAAACATAACGGGGCAGGAGCAGGTGCGTGAGCAGGAGCAGCAGCAGAGCCTTCATCAGGACCCGAGGTCCTCAAGATAGTCGAGCTGCTCGTCGTCGACCAGGCCACTGGCGGGCGCGTTTGGGGCACGGGCCAGTGCTGTGGTGGCGCTCTGTGTTGGGGTGTCCACTTCTCTCCACTCTTCCTTATCCTCCTTCTCCTCCTCCTCATCATCCCATCATCATTATATCATCATCAGCAGCAGAATCATCATCAATATCATCATCACCATCGTCATCAGCATCAGCATCATCAGCATCATAATATTCCTGCCCATCACCATCATCATCATCATCATCATCATCATCATCATCATCATCATCATCATCATCATCATCATCATCATCATAACCAGCATCATCATCATCATCATCATCATCATCATCATCATCGTCATCATCATCATCATCATCAGCATCATCAATATCACCATCGTCATAGTCATACTAGTATTCCTCATTATTATCGCGGTACTAACCCATCCACATCGTCACCAAAAGCAGCGTCAGCACACCATCATTATCATCACTGTCATCGTCGTCTGCATCATCTCTCTCTTTTTCCTTCTGCTCCATCCTCATTCCCGGGAGGACGTAAGGGAGGGCGAGGGACAGTGGCGGGCATCGTGAGTGGACCAGGAAAGGGGGAGGTGGAGGGACCAGGGAGGAGGTGAGGGGCCCATCCAGCATTCCATTCCAATATTTATTTATCGCGCCCAGTCGGGGTCAAGGCTTGCGTGGGATTGCAGAACAGGCGCGAGAGGGCCATAATATGACGTAGGCAGCTATACAAGCAGCACTGTCGCGCGCGAAGAAGCCATTGATAATCTCGCGACCGCATGCCAACAACACTTAAGAATACCAATTTCAAGTTGATCGGCGCCGGCGTAAATGTGCAAAGTCATCCAGCGCAGTGAAATACGGTATTTAAATCGCTCTCTTCTTGAATGTTCGGGGGGGCGCCCTCTTGAGGGACGAATCCTGCAGCGCTCAAGTGGGGCAGGCAGGGGTAGCGAATTGAGCGACCATGCTTCGAGGAGAGACCCCTGAGGCGGGGCCAAAACCAGTTGCCTGCAGCAAATGTTGATGTACCCACCCCCTCTCCATCAGGTACGGGCCCTGCGTGCAACCTACCTGGGGCAACTGAGCCCTACATGTGGAGGATATGGAGGACAGGAACCGTCCTACGTCAAAACAACGCCAGCCGCCAACGACGACGACGACGACATCGACGTCGTCGTCGACGGCTGGCGTTGTTTTGACGTCGAGTCGTCGTCGTCGTCGTCGAGTCGTCGTCGTCGTCGTCGTCGTGGTCGTCGTCGTCGTGGTCGTGGTCGTGGTCGTCGTCGTCGTCGCCAGGGCAGGGCGGGACACCCAGGCCCCGATCGGTGGTGCATGGGCGGTTCGAGGGTCAGTAGTTACCGCCCCCCTGTGGTCACAATCGGGCCTAGGACATAAACATCTCCTTCAAGAGCATGGGACCCTGCGCCGCCCCAAACTGAAGTACATTCAAGGGTGCCCTCCTCCAGATGCACAGGAACATCCAACAACCACGAAGAACACTAAGAATCCTCCCCGAACCCACCTTGATCTTCTACCTCGGGCCGACCGTCCCCCCCCTGAGCCAGACCGCCCCCCTGTGAGCGCCCATACAGTCGGCCCCGATGAACTGACACAATCAGCCTCCGACCTGACTGGGGCTTTCACCAGCATTCTGAAGGGAGTCCAGCTGCAGCGGCGGAAAACCTCACGGAGGCCCTACGAGATCCGGAACAATCCCAAACCTCGATTCGATCCTTGAATCTCAAGCCTCGAACCTCCCCATAGATCCGATGTGTCGTTTCTTCGCTAAGGGATCCGGGTGTGAATTGCACTCCGTACAATGTGTTTTCAGATGTGTTTCTGACTAACATGTTAGAGCAAGCACCCTCCCCCCTCAGCAGCGCGGCAGCATGTGTAACGCAGGTAAGCAGGATGCACTGTGCCGTTTGAGCTCGAGAGGCCTCTCGACTGACCAGAAACACTATCTTCACCCTTCCCGCACGCAGAGCGATTGTGAACCAGGGTGCTCGAGGAGAAGTTGGCAGGTTTCGGACTTCGATTCGGATACGATTGGAGATTTAGAGTGCTTCGACCGATTCACATTGGTAACTGGAGCGATCTATTCACGGACCACAGTTATCACCCATGGGACAGCCTGGCGGGGGACGCGGCGCAGCAGGACGAGATGACGGACAGCCGCCAACGAGTTTCATCGGTAGAGCCCCAGAGCTTGACGGCTCGATCGAAGGCTACAGGACGTTCAGAAAGAAGGTGGAGATCTTCGCAGCGAGAGCTCGCGGACGCGAGCACGAGAAAGGAGTAGGGCTCGAGATAATGCAAGGCCTGTGCGGCCGAGCGTGGGAGGTGGTCGAGGATATCGAGATCGGCGAGATCGAGAAGGAGAAAGGTTGGCAGACCATCATCCAAGCGCTCGACAGGGCATACAAGTATGATCAGATCACGGAACTCCCGACGGATTTTGAGAATTTCTTCTTCAAGGCAGCCCGCAAGCCCAAGGAGACTCTGATTGATTACTTGACGAGGTTTCGGACATCAGAGCGGAAAGTGCGAGCACACGACGTGACATTACCAGACAAGGTGCTCGGCTGGTTTCTACTACGGAGGGCCGGGCTCGACAAAGAAGGCAAGCAGCTCATCATGAACCAGGTCGGCGACAACCTCTCACTGGATAAGGTCGAGGGCAAAATGAAGAAAACGTTCGGCCTAGACTCGATGCCAAGCAATCGAGCCAGTTCTGGAGCGGCAGCCTACCACCTGGACGACTACGAGGAGTTCGACGAGCAAGACGACGTCTACTACGGAGGCGACGACGAGGAGCACTACTACGATGACTACGGCGAATACCACCAAGAGATGGGCCCCAGCTTCGACTCGGAAGCGGCCTACTACAGCGAGACAGTGACGAACAACCCCCCCATGCCAGACCAGGCGTACGACGTAGACCAATACGTTGACATCATGGCAGCATACACCGACGCGAGACAGAAGATGAACGACATGAGGTTGGCCAGAGGTTTCTACCCTGTCGTAGCGATGGGACCGCCACCGACGAGGAGCACGGCAGCCATCATACCCTCACGAGCTTCTGCCGCTGGCAGAGGTCGAGGTGCGGCGCGAGGCGCGTCCCGAGGGAGAGCTACGGGAAGAGGTTCGACGGCTTCGAAAGGACGCGGCAAGACAAACTTTGCCAGCAGCTACGGCAAGGGTGCAGCAGGACGTGGGCCACCTCACCCACCACCGAGAGCGACAGAAGAGACGATATGCCTACGATGCGGTGCTCGAGGTCACTTCGCCAAGGACTGCCCCCACGCGAGCAGGAAGAGGCAGAACGTCGGCGACGATTCCGCAGAGGCGCGGATGGTCACTGACGAGGCGGAGGACGTGTACAACTCGACCGAGCTCAACCCGTCGGAGGCGATGCACGATAGTGGGGCGACCAGCGTTATTGTGGGACACGAGACGCTCAAAGGATATTGCAAGCAGCTGGCCGCCAAAAGATTTCCAGTCAGCAAGATGAAATTTCTCCCGCGCCCCAAGAACTTCAGGTACGGCAACGACTCGACCGGCGAGGCGACGGCGCGTGCAGTTGTTCCGTCTTTCCCTGGAGGCAAGTTTGTGGATATTCTCACGTATGTGATTCCTGGCAACACACCATTTATGTTTGCCAGGCCAGTGATGGAGGAGCCCAGGATGGTCGTGGATTTCAAGAATAAGAGGGCATGCTGGGATGGTGACGGCAAGTGGATTCAGCTGCGCAAGCAACCCAGTCGCGGCCACTTCATCATCGACATGCTGGAGAGTTTCGATACGTGTATGAAGGACCGCGCTGACCAGACCCTACTGCCTCACAATATGTTGGGCCACGTGCGCGCGCAGCACCCGATCAGTCCCTACACGTTTCTTGGAGACGAGGTGCTGGCGTATGAGGAGTCAGTGGACTTCATCGGCACGATGGTCGAGATAGACAACATGGTCGACGCGACAGAGGAGAACAACTACATCACCAAGGAACCCAACCTGACGCAACTGCGCAAGTGCCAGGAGTCCGTAGACACGGCCGCCAAGGAGCTGAAGCAGGACCTGAGCAGGGTGAAGGACATCCAGAAGGCCAAGCGCAAGATATGGGAGGTCTACGGTGGCACCTCGGAGCTGACAAAGGAGCTGAGAAGGCGCGGACATCAGGCAAGGACGTTCGGGATGCACAACGGCTGGGATTTCAGTAAGATTGCTACGCAGAGGAAGTTTCTCGACCTGGTCGACGAGGAGCAGCCGGACGACATCTGGATGAGTCCCGAGTGCAAGCTCTGGACGCTGATGCAGGAGCGAGGCTGCAAGACGGACGAGGACAAGCAGCAGTTGCAGCAGCGGCGCTCGGACAACCATCAGACGCACCTGATGTTCTGCAAGAAGATCTACCTCAAGCAGTGGCAGGCTGGACGAGACGCACACTTGGAGCAACCCTCTGCGGCGCGAAGTTGGAGGACGAAAGCGTTATACGAGTTGCCTGGTCACCACGTGCTTTTCGACCAGTGTGTGACAGGATTGGAGATTCCAGGAGAAGGCTTGGCTCGCAAAAGGACTGGAGTTCGCACAACACGACGAGGACTGGCAGAGGGACTCTACGAGTACCAGTGCGACAAGCAGCACGAGCACGTCCACCTGGAAGGCAAGATTCCATGCACCAACCTGCACCGCACGAGTTTCGCCGAGAACTACGGGACCCTGCTGGCCAAGATCCTCAGCTATCTGCTTGAGCAGCCCCCCCCTCAGGACTCGGATATCCTAGTGCTGGGTCTCGAGGAAGGCGAGGATGCGGTGGGGCATTCTACCACACGACGGTGGACAGCAGCAGCAACGACCCGAGGGAGACGTACCAGAACCGGCTGCTGAGGAGCGAGTTCGGCCAGAACGTGGTCAGGTATGTGGAACGCCTCCACAAGAACCTGGGCCACCCGAGCACAGAGGTTTTCGTGCGGATGCTGACGGCGGCGGAGGCATGAGAGGAA